AAAATTAAAAGACAAGTGTCAAGTATAAAGATTCATTCGCATCATGCGTCTTTTCATTTGGTCAAGTATTGCTTATTTGGCAGTAACCCCCAGCACAGTGAGCTTTGCCAGGCTGTTGTATGCTATATCTACAAAGGGTTTGGAACCAATAAAGGCCTCCTTAGCACCAGTCTTTGCCAGCTCGTTACATTTTCCCTCGATGTCTGAGTGGCCTAGAATCGAGCGTAGGACCACTTTACTTCTATCTCCGAGAGTATAGTTACACGGTTCTCTACAACCCTCGATGTTTTGGTAACTGAGGCTACTGCATAAAGTGCAACTTGAACAAATAGAGATTCGAATTGTCGTCCTCTCGATTGAGAAGCAACTGTTCTTCCAATAAGCGACTACCACCGTACTTAAATCCTTTGTGAAAATTTTACATTTAGCGTGAATATGGTTACAACATTTAAAGAAAGTTAGCTCGAGATTGCAAAACTTATGTTTGGATATTTGTATATTAAACGGAATCGTTGGAAAGAAAGTACGCATTGCGTGTTTCCAATTTACTTTGGGTAACCTTTAAGAGCAGTAGAGTTCTTTGCCAAAAAGTTTGTCCAGGAAAGTACTGCCACCATATCTATCCCTCGAAGGGTAAGTAAGAATGCCGGTGAACTTACAAACACATTGCATTAATCTACTTATTGAGATATAAGTCTACTTGTCTCAGTGTGACGGGCGCAGTGCACTGCAGTTTGCACACCGTGAATGCACCACCATTATTATTTTTATAATGACGAGACGAACAAGTCGTGCGCCTGGTGGTAAGCGACACGCCAACCTATAACAGTTGCAGTGCCACTTAAGTTTTATAATTATAATAATTTACAAATAAAGAACAAATTCTTAAGACAGGTAACAAGCTAGCGGTTCCAATGACTGACCACATATATGCAATTTATGATTTCCTTGACCCACTAGCTAAGTATGAGATCGCTCAACTCGTTGAAAGGAACGCCTTTGTATTCATTAGCATGGCAGTGGAAGAAGAAATAAAATTTATAATATTTCAAATATTTCATACTGGTGTGGTCAGTATAAAATGTGATCAGTGTGGTCATTGACTTACAAATAAATGGACGACGGGTCTAATATAAAAACCACGAAAAAAATGTCCCAATACAACCTATTTAAACGTGACATGTCAAAGAATATGAAAAAGCTAAAACGTTGAATTTAATTGTAATGTCATCGCAGTACTGTCTAATTTTGCTTGCTTCGCTGTCAGTCGAACAAACGAAGACTAGAGCATGAATGACGCTCTGTATACGATTTTAACGCCCTATAAGTTCGGACACTTTTTAGCGCGGACCCGACGTCCATATAATTGTAAGTCAATGAGTGTGGTGCATCATATTTTTAAGTTTAAACAAGCACACTAACAAACAATTTTTTTATATATATAAATAATCTGTGCCCACAAAGCCACTAGTGAAATATAGTCTTTTTTTGTACCAAAACACGGGACGAACGAGTCGTGCATCTGGTGGTAGGCGACACGCCTGTCCATAGCAGAAGCAGTGCCACTCAAAGCTTTAAATCGCAAAAGATCTGAGGGGCGCTGCCACTGCGTCCGTCACTCAGAAACATATGTTAACAATTTTTTGAAAAATCTCAAGGATGTGCAATTTCAACAGTACCCTTCCTTACTCTTCAAAACCGGAATGGTAATATGTCAGCATTGTAAGGCGGCAGTTCTTCCCTGAGCAAACTCGTTCACAAGGAGTTGTAATGCATCGTCTGGTGTATTATAACAGCTTACTATTTAATGACAGCCTGCTACAATAACAGAAATAGTATACATGGCTATTTATCATATTCATATTCATCGATGTGAAAAGTAGAGCGTCAACATAATCAGCTAAACAAAAGAACACAAACCCAACATCTGTCAGCCTGCGTCCGTCAATCCGTCAGCCATACATCCGCCGGCATCAGAAAACGTCACAACACTATGTTTACATATAGCACGATAATGGTTCTTTTTTAATTTTCAATTATTTTTTAATCGAGTTCTTAGGTTTTCGAGATTGCTATACATCGGAAATGAAACTATTGTTTCGGATTTAAATCGCGTAACGGCTAATTGTCACAGTCAACCGTGACCATGGGACCTGTAAAGAGAGCCCTAAACTTGGGTTCATTTGGAAAAATATCACTGGAAGAAATAAATTATTCGCGATTTAGACCCGAAAAAGTATTTTCATTTCCAATTTTTTTTAATTCTTACAATTTATTTATTACAAATGGCCAAATGAAGCAGTTTAATTTTTTTTTTAATATACCAAGTGACGGGGCGAGCAAGTCGTGCACTTGCTGGTAACCTACACGCCTATCCATAACAGTTGCAGTGCCACTCAGAGCTTTAAAATCTTCTCTGTTGAAATTAGGATGTTTTTAATTTCAATGGCCTCTCGCAGAATCCTGGGTAAATAACGGACTTCTTTTGCAAGGACCTGGGGTTTGTTTAAAAAACAAATATACGTGATTTAAATCCAGAAAAATAGTTTTTTTTTCTATGTGTAACAATAGCGAAAACCTAAGAACTCGACACAATAGATCACTCGTTGTGATGAACAGCCAAACACGTTCCGAGTAAAGCCAAGGTAACTGCAACGTAATGGTGGTCAAGTCACTTAGAGTAATTTTTTATTGAAAAACTGCACATATTATTGTATACAAGACTTTTCAAGCGATTGGTAATAATAGGTGAAAAATATATCGACACCTCCAATGTAAGTTGCTGTAAGACACAAAATAGTATTTTTTACTTTTTACCTGATAAATATATAAATATATATCCTTTTTATGTTGATACCTCCATTGAACACTACGCTAACATAATTTTTGGACCTGTTCTGTTTTTTCTTTATTTTTTTTACAAAATTCAGGAAGCATGATATCAATAAATAAATATGGTAGAGTATAATAAATATATACAAAAATAACAAAAAATAACCAAAAAATTAACTTGGCTTAATATTCATTGGAGGTATTGTTAGGTTCCATGTTCAAAAGCAAACAAACAAGAAATTGTTTTCTCTGTTTTTGATGTTTAAAAGTAATAAACATAAATTCTGTAATATACATTAAACATACATATTTAACTTTAAAAACAAAAGATGCTATTCAGTTTACAACAATTTATGTGGGAGGTATCGATGTGGATAACAAACAATTATATTTGTGTTGGTTATAGCTTTTTTATTGATATTCATGTTTTATTCTGACTTGAATAATGTTTAAAAGCAAACAATCAACTTAAGTATGACATGCTGTTTGTTAAACAACAACTAATGTTATTTGAAATCTCTACAGACTGACTTAGTAGCAGTAGAGCTCCATGTGAAAGAGTTCATCAAGGGCAGTACTGCCACCTTATCTATTTCTGCCACCAAGCAGTAATGTCAGCTTTTCCGTGTTCCAGTTTTGAAGGGTGTTGGTGGAATTACAAGCACACTGGACTTATCAACTTATGTGTCAGGGTGACAGGCGCAGTGGCAGTGCCCCTCAGATCTTTGCGATTTAAAGCTCTGAGTGGCATTGTAACTATTTTGGTGTATGGCTTACCATCAGACACACGACTTGTTCATTCCGTCACTTGATATTATAAAAAGAAACGCAATTCATTAAAATTACAGGTACAATAAGCATCGACTCAAATCACTACCACAGTGCTTGATGCATAGACTGATTTATACAATCTCTAAATCAAAGGTTTTTTTTGCATAACAATTGGACATTTATATTAAACTAAACGACATAGTTTTTGAGTTTAGTTTTCTGGTAATCATCATTTAGTGCGTGTTTGTAAATAAACAATAAGCTCGCAATGTTTATATGCCAGTTTGGCTGGATAGAGTGAAACTAGTTATCAAATAGCTACGGTGATAAGAATTTTAGCCATAAACTGAAATGCCATTTTATATATCTCCTTCACCAGATGTTTTAGCTGTAAACAACAAAGTAGTACAAAAAGTAACAGACAAGGTCTCTGTTTGCACATCAAATAAACAAAAAAATGTATAATGCCTCTTTGTTTCAGACTTTGTTACAGTTATTTGATACAATCTTTGAACCACAAGATGCATTCTTTGACTCTTTTGCATTCCTTAGTTGTTTTTTCTTTTCAATAACTTGATTGATTCATTTATTCATTCATGTGTAACATACAACAAGTCATAATATGGTATGAAAACTTTATTCATATTTCTTAAGGTGGATTCGGAAATTTGTATTGCAGATGCTAATGTGTTCAAAATCATTTACCCTTACAGAATTTAATAAAATTGAGTTCAAAAAATGAAAATGAAACTACATTGTCAAATATAAACATGACCCTACAAATATACACAATTTGGATCTTAAAAAGTAGCTTAATTCCCAGTGTATTTGTCCATTTAAAAGAACCAATGATGGCAGAAACAGTGTTCTCAGTGAATTATGTTACATTACATTGTAACATCTAAAAAAGAACTTGTTTGCTTTACTTGTGAATCTTCAGTAGTTTGGAGAATGTTCTCTTCAAAATTGTCACCTGTCATTTTCTAGTCATCGAATTTGTTGATTTTAAGAAGCCTTGTAACAATTCCTTGAGGTTGGTTTATATGGAAACTCGTTTTTGGACTTCTGATCTTGAACAAGGATGGTGGATGGAAGGAGGGTGCAGGACTCAAAACAGGACATGCAAAAAATATACATATTCATATAGCATTTCTGTGAAATATCTGCCATTACTTTAATATTTCATGATATAGTTATCTCAAAAATTACTCTAGTAGTTTTCTATGCAATAGGTTCTAATTTTAGATGTCACCATTGAAGTAATTTTTGTTCGTTGAAATTAAAAGAAACAAACATAAAATCATATCAATTAGGTCACGTACCCAGAGGAAACACCAGTTTACATAAATAGAGAGCAATGTGTCACAAAAAAGAAGAAAAACGAGAGTGTCACTGACCTGTGGCAAGTTGGCGGCGATCTGACGGTGCAGCGAGTCGCGTTCTTTTTCTACTTCCTTGAGCCGCAGTTCCGAGTCTCCTAGCCGCTCCTGCGTCTCCCGCAGGCTCTCTACCAGCTTATCTCGCTCGTCGAGCATAGACACCATGAGCTGTTCGAAGTTGGCATCTTCGCCACTAAATTGCGAACTCCGTTGGCTGATACTGTCTTCCGATATAGTGGGCATTACGTCGCACATCATATTCCACATTTTAATTTACCATCAAACCAGAAAACGTACACGACACTCCGAACAACACAAATTCGATCACAGTTTTTATTACATATGTCCCGGCACAAGTGTTACCTAAATCTAGCGAACGGCACGCGTAAGCGTTGCTTCACATTGTCTGTACACTCACTTGAGATGCTAGTCAGGGATTTGGGAGACATTCTAGTTCGATATTTAGAAAGACACACCTAAAAATTTTACTCCTACGATTCCATACTATCATGGCTCAAGCGGCATGTCTGCCATCTTGGATTGGAACGTCAATTTCAACATAGAGTAGATAAGATCGTCCATTAAAGACAGGACTTTACAAGTCTAGTGTGTTGACGGAGGGGGTGAGGGTTTATTTGCCTATCAAGGCTAATGGTCAAGTCAATGAAGTGTCAGTGAAAATTAAAACAGAAATGAGTGTGCAACGGACACGCTTACGACAGGGTTCCGTAATCGTTATGTGATTCGGCTTGGCCACAATTTATCCTAACTTTAAGCAATTTATAGTATTTTTGTAGATTTCGTATTGAAATTTCAATTAATATTTCAATGTCGTAAGTGCGTTAGGACTAATTAAAATATTGTCGAAAAGGTAATATTCTACATTTTTGTTCGTTTAATTGCAATGCAACTTCGAAAAGTTGCAGCTTATACTAAAGAAATAGGTATACTTTACCAACTAATGAACATACGCACGGACAAGAGGACAGAACAAAATTATAAAGCTTCTTACCTAAATTTGATCACCTCATAATTTATTATAGCTATAATGATTCGTAATTGTTTTGATTCTATATAATTATGATGTAAAGAAATTGACCTTATTATAACAACTTTTTATATAATAAAATATGAATTAACATATAAGACAAAATGACTTGCTTTCGAAACTTTTCGTTGGTATATACGTCTTGAGTCTATCATGTGCTTAGAAGAATATTGAAACACACATTTACTATTATTTTCATTTATTATTTACTTTCTAGTGCTTACTAAGCCAAAACAAAATAAATGTTAAACATTAAAAAAAAATGTACAAAACAGGAACAATAATTTAATGGGAAATTTCGGAAAACAAAAATAACTTACTATGTGTGAATCCTATATGTGACACATTCAATACTTCGTATGTATGTTACATATGTAAAATGCTATACATACAATGAACAACGATTGGATAGAATTATAATATATCAGATATGTGAAAAGGAAAACTACAACTACAAAATATCCATGAGTGACAATTTTGAAGAGAACATTCTCCAAACTACTAAAGATTCACAAGCCACTGTCATCCTTGTCGAAAAAATCCTATTGAATGGGTAATTGTGTACTTATAACGATTAAGAAATAATTGTTACCTAAGTGTATTAGCAGTGCAACGAATACAATTTCGTATTTCATTTTATAACTCTTTGCTAAAACTGTTTCTTTTTTATTTGTAAGATTGTAAGGTCCATCTATTGCAGCCCCTCTCTTCTTATTATACCTATCGTTGATCCTTGAACCTGCAATGTTGACAGTTTGCCTTCTGTCTCTAATAATCTTTGATAATTGTTTCTTACTACGGTAATACCGGTAGAGGGCGTTGTTAAAACATTCCTACTGACGTTTATGAAGCTCGTTTGAAAATTCTTGGAAATCTAAAATGCCAAATGGCGCTCTAAGTGCCTTGATTACTTACTTTAATTATTGTAAATATCTAGTGCTCTTTCCCATTTCTATATTTTCTATCATGTGTACCAGCAACAGTGAAATAGGTCTGCCAAGCAAACAATTCATGACGAATCGAAAAGGTCGATCATTTTAATCAACTGACGCCAACATTTTCAAATTAAAAAAAAATATGATAATGCCTGCCTCTAATTAACAGTACAGCCTGAAACTACCTCCTATTTAATAAAATTTTATAAAAACTTAATAAAATGTTAATGGTGCTTAATTTTTGGTAATATAACTTGTATGAATCCAAGGTCATGAAATAAGCAAAAAAAATGTATTTTACAAAATGTCAAGAGCCGAGTAATACCAACTAAGAGGAAATTCTCTGAAAATTCGGGGGTATTTTTTTAACTCCGGGAGAATTTTAAGAACATATCTCCTTTGGGATTTTCGAGAGGGGAAGAATTAAAAACCGTCTATTGCAAAATAACGAAGTGAGTGAACTGACTGACTCACTAGCTTAATTAAATATCAAAAGTGCAACATTACATATACTTATACCTGCTCGGTAATTAGAAAAAGTGATCCTATCTAATTCAATCGGTCAACTGAACTAGTTCGGTCTATTAACTTTTTTACATTGTTTAGTTCAATAATCTGATGAGATCTAGAATTTGAGAAAGAATAGGAACCGTTTCGGTCTATAAAGGCTACGAAACGAAAGATCCCCATGAAAGATAATTATAGTCATATCAATAAAAATGTTATATTCAGATTCCTTTATGAATAATTTTTTTGTGTTTTATGAATGAACTTTTTATTTTCTTTGTCAAATTTACGTAAAAATACTCTAAACACAACAGCATGTCGTTGAGAATCATGTATTAAAATCTTACAAGAGGTGACAACGTTCAATCGTGCATCTCACTCTATTTTTAGTACAAATTCCGAAAAGCAGTGAAAGATCGCTAAAATTGTCCCTTATATACGTGAATACAAACAGTTCCTATTGGATTAAATGACATGTGAACTTTTAAGATTACGCTAAAGGAATTGTTGAATTAGTGCAATTCTTAGAATTTATTATTGTTTTCATATAGGGTGTATTTACTTCATTTCGACATCACGAAAGTTAAACAAATTTTATTCGGAAAAATGTACTTAATTCAAGCTAATAATGTATAAATACGAAGAAGCTTTGGCTGAATAAAATGCATTATTGTAAAAACTAACACATACAATATGAGTACTATTTCATTTAGTACCATCGCGAACCGCTACATGACATTAGTTGTACTCTGAAACCTTAGAGCATATAGGACTGGAGGCGTCATCGATAGGCAATCCCCTCTGTCAAGGTACAAGCCTCTTGCAGTACTACCCCCCCGCCCCTCAAAAAGTGGCAGAAAGTTTTGTTCGAGAAATAACTAATAGCGCCTTCCGTCCTATATGCTCTAAATCTGAAACACTATCGCTTTGTTCACTTCAATAATATAAAGGAACCCATGTAATTTTGTACGATCAACGCTTTCTACTAGCTACTGAGACGTTTTAGTCCTCATAACACTGCCCTGTAATTTCGGCAGTAATCTCTGCGCTCTCACGCACTTACGATACAGTTTTCAGTTTCAGTGCTTAGTATTGTTTGCGTTATTTATTTTTGTTGTTTACGAAAGTCATCAAAATATACCACTTTTACAATTTGGCGTCTCAATTTGTCATTCTGCGCGCGCACCCCTCTTCGCCGACTCAGCTATAATGTATATTTTATAAATTTATTAATTTTTTATTTGTAGGTTACTCAATGATTTAAGTATAAAAATTATGCTGGATAGTGTTTTCGAGGGAATTCAAAATTTTCTGGGGAAAATTTACATAGTTATCTGGCAGCACTGTAAATAAAAAAAAGTGTAGTGAGCAGAGCAAGCAGTTGTGCGTGTGTGTATGTGTGTTTGTTGTGTACTTAGCCGAGATAACATAAAATTACAATAGTACATTCGTTTTTGCTGGAAATCATAACTATTATACAATATACAAATATCGCCAAAGTAAAACAATAGACACAAGTATCGCTTTTGATTTTTAAAATGCTAGAAACTGTTTGTTAAACATCTCCCGTGTATGCTGAACTTCGGTCGCCTTGTGTTCTTTCCAAACTTAGTAAATGCCGAAGAAAAAAGGCTTCAAAAAGAATACAAATGCAGGTAGTAAAACTTAAGCTTAAACTTATCTTCTTCTATAAAACCCTAAAATAAAATAACTTCAATAATCCCTTCCATAATGTAAGCAAAAGTTTTGATTGTGGAGGCTTATGAATGCAACTGAAGATCATATTAAGGGATAGAAAGAAGAAGAATGAAAATACATTTGACTAAGGATGTAAGGACGGGAGGAGGACGTATGGATCAAGTTTTTTCTTCTTGCATAACCAAAAAAATCTTGATAACAACATTGCAATCTCTACACAAAGATTACATCTCTTGCGTTCGAATAAACGTGACGTACATTACATTGTTTAACAACCTAATGGGTGGTATGTAGTGTCTAAAAAATGACTTCTGATTAGCAGGAGAGTAGCAATTTTTTAAATGATTTCAAGTGGGGTGAACAAGTCGTGGTTGTAGGTATCGTGACAATCTAAAACAGTTGCCATGCCACTCATAGCTTTATTTTCTTTTATAAAAACTAAGTGACGGGACTTACAAGTTGGTGGCAGAAATAGTATGTAATGGACGAACTTGTCCACAACGAGCTTTACTGCTATTAAATCGCAAAGATCTAAGGGGCATTGCCACTGCACCTGTCATCCTGAGAATTAAAGGTGACATGTCCCATGTGCGAGTCAGGTTTACACTATATGAGTACTCTTGGAACTAATCTACTTAAATGACTACTCGGTACTTGCTAGTTGGCTATAACAAGTAAAAGAATGATATCTGCAGGAGTATCTAGACATTCTACATAAATATGAGTTTCAGCCTATGCAGGTCGTATGAGTGTGTATTTTGAACTAAAACAGTTACAATTTGTTGTGCATTTTCCAGATTTTACCATAAATGATTGTGCCAACGCTCCAAAAGCGGTGGGCCGAGTAAAAAAGGCAACACCAACAGAGGCTGTCACCCCAGAACTGACCTGGGAACAGATGGTTGATGATTTTGACATAATTGAAGAGGTTAATGCTGACGGAACAAAAAGCTTTGTATATAAAAAGAAAAGAAATCATTCCAAGATGGAAGACAATATAGAAGACCGCCCTGGTGTGGTATATCCAGAAATAGTGTGGTATCTAATATCCCGGTATATAAAACCGGATGATATTGGTGCATTTGCCAGAATTAATAAAGCTACTTATGCTATAACAAAGCGGGAATCATTTTGGAGAACATTATACCAGAGGTATTGCCAAAATAACCCTAAATTACCTGAGAAGTTAAAGTTAGAAAATGGTTATAAATTGTATGGTTTACGTCAGAGAGTAATAAGGGCTTTATATCATACTTATGATGTCTTCATTAAGAAGGTATTGCAGCAGGCGGCACATGATAGTCGACCGCATTTGCTGGTCAAACGACGTTGCGTCAACATGTGGTACTGCAAAGGTTCCGCACACTGGTCTATATATTTCAAATTTAGGAGGCCATGTCTCTTACCCAGGATTGAGACTAATATTATTGAAGAACTGGGACGGATTGATGCCAATCCGGAGGAGGATAACCAAGTACTGCAAGTATGTGGTTCATTTTCATTTGTTAGATTTTAATTGAACTGGTCAGTACTTTTATCCATACAAGAGGTTAAAGCATGTGTCAAATTTAAAATAAAAATTTTCGCAATGTTGGCCAAAATTATATGCATACCGATCTCCCACTGCGAACATACAGGCCTGTAAAAGGAGAGGGTAGTAGGGCACATGGAAGGAAATATTATAAGTATCCATAACAGATACAGTGCCACTCAGAGCTTTAAAAAAAACAAACACAAAGATCTGAGGGGCACTACCACTGTGCCCGTCACCCTGTAATAAATAAATATATATTTATCTTATATTTCAGGTAACCTGCCAAAATTTCTACGAACTACCGCCGCTTATGGGTATGACGCTGTCATCCGTGAGTGTTCAGCTTGCACAGGGATTCCGCCACCATAGGTTACATCTTGGCTTCAACACTGGTCACCACAATGTATCGCGAAATATATTCCCGGAATGCACAGTCGTAATAGACAATGTCATTAATATTTTAGTCTACGATTGGTGGCACCCCAAGTACCCTTATTTTGAAACCACACTACCACTAAATAAAGGAGATGAGGAGCAAGTTCCAGTGTTAAAAAGGGACTTTTTTGCAAACGAAGAAATGTAATTATTGTAAAAAGTATGTACGTGATATTAAAAAAAATATTTTATTACTGTTTTGGAGCTGTTTTATTGTGAAGAATATTTTTTGCTGGCGTATTTATTTTTAACCAACTTCAAAAAAATAATCTCAGTACAGAGTACTAAAAAAACCGACCTCAAAAGTACGTGGAATTTTGTCTATTTGCTAAGTTTTATTGAAATATCCCCTAGTTCGCCACTATACAGGACTTGACATTGGAGATAATAAAAATCGGTTCTCACTACTCAAAGTATATCGAGAGAAAAACGCCTTGAATTGGAGAAATAGCAAAATCAACCATTAAAGTAATTGCTCCTAAATTAATGTTAGGCGCTATTTATGAAAATGAATCTTCATGCGTGAACAGCCACGCAGCCTCGAAGGCGAGGTGGATGATTTTCCTCAAAATTAAATGGGACCACTATGGAAGTACCCCCTTTCCAACAAAAAAAGAATCATGAAAATCGGTTCACAAATACCGGAGTTATCGCGTAACATACATACAAAAAAAAAAGAACATACAGACGAATTGAGAACCTCCTCCTTTTTGAAGTCGGTTAAAAAGGAAAAGGTTCTCAATTCGACCATGTTTTTTTTGTATGTATGTTACGCGATAACTCCGTCACCGATTTGTGAACAGATTTTGATGGTTTTATTGGAAAGAGGGTACCTCAGATGTGTTCCCATTTAAATTTGAAGAAAATATTCCACCTCTAAGGGTGGCAAACTAGGGGATGAATGATTTTTGAGGCCGGTTTTTTTAGTACTCTGTACTGAGATTATGCTCGTTGTATGTAGTTACACCTAGTAGTGTATACCTACTAAGAAATAGTATGTCTCTTATCGAGGGACTAAACGAGCCTATGTATACTGAACTATGTAAAGAAGAGGAAGTTCCACGAAAATTTGCTCTAGACGCAATCAAAACTGAAGCAGACAGTAAAAAGTTATGACAGATTTAAAAAAATAAAATCGTTTTTTGGTTCTCCTGAAAAACCGTGGTTTGTCCCAATCGAGTATATTGTTTATCCCTTACATTAATTGGTACTTCTGGTATCATTATATGTATCTAAAACCTACTAAAGAAAGTAGTGTACAAACCACATCTTCCGTGGTCAAACTATTATAATTTATAAATTAACGGTTCCTATAACGGGTAGATGGCGCTAATCCTAAAGAAAATAAAAGAATTGCCGGCACAATCCATAAAAATCTGAGCAATAGGAGCCATCTAGTTTATTTGCTTTGTTATCACTAGAAATTAGAATAGCTATGTTAAATGTAAAATAATTAATTTAGTTACAAACTAAAATAGCCGTTTGGTACTCGTCGCGACATCTGGTGACCCCAATAGTCACTAAACCCGACTACGCTGTCTTGTATCTCGTTATTAAAGTCTTCTTGAGTGATTCCTACAGCCTACCTACATGGTTATGGTATTATAATTGGTTAGACTGTGGTACTTAGAATAATAACGCATAGATAGAATGATAGTTTCATATCAAACGAACTGTCACAAGTGAGGCAAAAATCAAATTCATGTAGGCTAGTTTTAAGAGTAGGTTAATTTTCGGTTTTAGTGAATATTTATATAAAAATACAAGTTGAAACGCATTACTTCCTTGTGGAATGTGATGTTAGTATCTATTTTATGTTTGTCTGACGTATTTTTACACTCATTTACCGCACATTTCGTAATTTTTACCTAAAATTCTGGAGCTGTTCGCGGTGCAAGTTGACCTTGAGCACTGAAGGCCCGCCCGCTCGTGTAGGCCCATTGGGCGCGCTTCAATTTGCCTCACTTAGCGTGTGCGGGCTAGGTTTCTATGCGTTATTATTCTAAGCTGTGGTATTACAAAGCTCCCATTTATTTCTGAATGGGAACCACTAGGCTTGGGCCTGCCTCAATTTCATTGTAAGTTAGTTAAGTTAGAACGCCAACGTTTAGGCAGCAGCAGGGTATTTATTTTTAAAAGAACTTCTTCGATGGACTGTTATCCGCTGCCTGTAAATTGAATCTGACATCGAAGGACATTTAGGCCAGGCGTGTATTTATTATTAAAAAAAAACAAGGCGCTTTAAATGCTAGGTGACCTCATCGTTCAAATGGTATACAGTCGAGCGAAAATACAACGCTTCACAAATAACAAAATCTCATTGGACGAAACTGACCTTTAGTCACTTGACATTTGATTAGCTAAGGTCTTTATTTGTACAACGTCGTCTTTATTTATAGGTCGTCGCATAATTTTAAGTTTTAGTCTTGTGTTTGTTGAAAATGATCAGGTTTTCGTTGATATTGGGACTTGTTTCGGTAAGTGGTCTTTGATTCCTTTTTCGAGTTGTTAGCCGTAATGCTGTAAACACAGTGGGAAAGATATAGTATATCTACTTACATTGGAATTTAAATAATTATTACTTAAAATTGTTCTTGGCTACTCAATTTTATTTTATATATTAGCGACGATCAGTTTATTTTTTGACACTGTATTTTACACAGTAATAATAATATACTACACTGATAAATGTCTATATTTTGATAAACATGTTTTTTAAACTGCCACTAGGTACATTTTTATCGCTATTTCAAAGTTTGTAATTTTCTTTATCGTCTGCTCTACAGCATTTATGTATTTAATAATACGAAGAGATTGAAAAATAGAAACAAGTCACCTTTTTTAAACACTTTTAGCCCCGCACTAGGGAAACCCTGTATCGCGGATGCCATGGACACACATAGACAAGCACAATCGATACCTCCAATCTTTCCAATGATCAATACGCCAACTTTATTTTTTGGTCATTTTCTGTTATTTTTGTAAACAGCCATATTTATTTACTGATATTATGCTCCCCAAATTTAGTGACGAAAAAGGAACAAAAAACGAAATTCGAAAAACAAGAAAACGAATTTTGTGAAAAGAAAACAAAATGGTGGGTTTTAATAGTTAAATTTTTTACACGAATTAATCTTTAGTTTATGTATATTACGTTGTGCGTTTCTTGATTATTTGTTACCATTAAGCTAATGGCTCTGAAGCCAATGCTTTATAAATAAATAAATAAAAAAGAGATTACTCTCAGGGTCGTATTCCAGAACTCTACTCAATACTCAAGTCAGGACTTGAGTATTGCAGTGAGCACTGAAAATCATACTCAAGTCCTTGCCATTAGGGTCGTATTTCCAGTGCTTGAAAACATACTCAAGTCTGCTCAAATCCTGATTTTTTTTTTAAGTTTATTAAGGCTTTGGCAAAGCCATCAGCCTAAACATGAAGTTTAAATATGTTTCTGTAAATATGGCCGCCACAAAGAGGATAGGCAATTTGATACGGGTATTTTAGTTCGAGATTCGTATAATTTCGCGTTTTAATCTTCGATTAAGGCACAATAGCACTATCCTATTCCACTTTAAACTAGATTTCACAAAATATTTGAAAGTCAAAATAAAAACGTCACTTTTCCCTCCAGAAGGTCCAGAGCGAATCTCAAATCCTGACTTGAGCATTAGAGTTCTAGAATACAACTCTCAGTCTCATCTGTATGGCGCATTAGTGCCATTGCCTTTTCCAATGCAAAAAAACAAATTTTTAATGCGACTGTATTTTTTTGTATGTATGTGCACCCTTACCCTTCAAAACCGGAACACAGTAAAGTTGACATTACTGCTTGGCGGCAGAAATAGGTAAGTAGCAGTAATTCCCTGGACGAACTCTTTCACAAGGAGCTCTACTGCTGCTAAACTTCCAGTCTAACTACTAACAATTAATAATAAATAACAAATCCGTTGTAGAAGTGAAAAATCCGCAAACGTGCAAGTAATTTACACCATGCTTACACCGATTGTTCCATATAGGTACATAAAACGTGGTTATCTATCACTATGTAGTCCGAAAATACATTTTCCAGAAATAACGTTTGAAATCTAACCGAACCTAATCTAATGTCTTTGCAATAAACCTGAAATAACGACGGTTTCATTATTATTCGGTTTTCGTGTGTAACGAAAATTCGAACTAACGTTATTTCGGAAAAACATTCGAGTTTGTGATAGGTTACCATAAAGCGTATATTATGTAGGTACTATCCAGTTTAGTACGATTTAATTAATATAACCACGTAATGATTTTTAGATATGCCTAGCCGATCTTCCGGTGACTCCACCTGCTGCTATACGATGTGGCCAAACTCCGAACGCTGTAAGTGTTAGAAAATCATGTGAAGAACAATGTTTGTTTATGGTGGATCTGTAACTTTTCATCAAATTCGGAATAACATGAAGTTGATTGAATATCATGATGTTGTACTACAATGACATTCAGTTATTTTTTGTGAAATTAGTGTTCGATCTTTTTTAAGAATTACACAACACAACAACAGTCAAAGCGTTGAATCAATCTATTTGGAAAATATATATAGTAAAATTGAGGATATACACCGATTACTATATGGTGTGAGAACACGATTCCTAAAAACACGAACTTACCTCGAAATTTTACAAGAAAACCGATATATTCAATAGGCATTTTAATTAGCTTTTCTTAATATTCCAGGTTTACTCTTGCCTCGGCAATCCGAAAGTGGTGAAACCTGATGTTTCTCAGCAGTGCACTCAGTTTGTTTCGGAGGTAAGAATATCATCATCATCACAGTCTCCTCTCAGGCCAGGGTTTATGCCGCAGTCGGCCACGCTGGCCCAATGCGGGTTGCAGATTTCACACGTAAACTTTCTTCCATGTGTAGGTTTTAATTACGATGTTTTCCTTCTCCGAAAAACTCATGGTAAATTTCAAATTGAATTTTGCACATAAAATTCCGAGAAACTTAGTGGTGTTAGCCCGGATTCGAATTCACAGCTTCTGCTTAGAGGCGGAAGTTCAAACGATTCGACGGCTTTACACTGGACACTGATCTCTTTTATAGATCTCACGGCTTGGGACATTCGGGTTCTTTTTTGAACAGTCTTCGAGAGGGAATTTTCCGAGATCTTCCTTCGGCGTCCTACTTACAGTTGCCATAACAATATTAAACAGTACAATGGTTATTTATTTTTAACATCACAAGTATCAGGTTCGAAAGCTACATTTCTAAACTTACAGGCTTAAGTTAAATTAACTTATGTGTTGTAATAATAATAACTGTCATGTCTGAAACTATTGTTCATTACAATCACGGAAAAAAAAAATGGGAGTGAAGGCCGTCTCGATTGCTATCAGAACCGCTGTCACCAAAAGTCACACATTTATAATTTGAAACATTATGAAATCTTGATATTGATTGGTCGTAGTTTCAAATTTAAAAAGAAATAACAAATTCTGGATTGTTAATATAATTTAAACTTTGCGTCGTTGGCATATCGTTGAAAATTCAATGCCATAAATACCTATTATTGCAAGTTACGACGTTTTGATTTTATACTGAAATTTCAATCAATGTGCTGCTATCTAGCGGTGAATAGCTGAACAACGACGATTTTGAGATGTTTACGTAGTTCTTCTAAAAAGAAACGAACATGGCAGCGGTACAAGATTTATTTTCGTTTCTTGTACTTAAAAAAATGATTATGATGAAGAGAAAATTGAAAATTTATTAAAATTAAATAAAATAAGACGCAACGATGGTACGAAACACCACCAATATTGCAAGTGCGTCTATGTGATAGTAGATAGTCTACGTGATTTTTTCAGTCCAAAGTATAGAAATAAGATATTTTTCTACGATTTTCGAGGTTTTGCGCGAGATAATGACACTTCAAGTATATAACCAGAAATAGAGACGAAATGTCATTTAATTTATTTGAAAACTATTCTACCATATTTTTACTGTGATAACTGCGCTCCGATTGGCCAGCCCGAGTTCGAAACAATTGACGGGTGTCGTCAACTATTTCACTTCAAATCGACCAGTTAACTTGAGCTTTGCTATAATGGACGAAAATTGCGAAATTACATATTTAATATTTAATTACCTATGAAAAGGGATTCCGTTTGTTTTGTAATTAGATGTTTTGCTGTTTTTGCCTCACCACCGAATAGAACAGCACGGCATTGTTAGAGATATTATCTTTATAACATATTTGCTCGTAAAGTGGCTGAAATCACACCAATTTCAATATCGTAATGTATTTCATTATGCACTTGTGCGTTATTGTAATGTAAAACGCACAAGTGTGTTATTGTAATGTAAAACGCACAAGTGCGTTATTGTAATGTAAAACGCACAAGTTTTTTTTAATAAAGTAACATGCACAGTTTTTTAAAATGCTCCGTCTAAAAATGAACGATACTTTTTTAAATCTTTGCAAAGAATTTTTATGTTAGAAAAGTGGTCATTATTTTAGGAATAAAATTAACTTTGGGAGATAAAATATAGTAAATAAACATTTAATTCTTTCATTTAATTAATTTTGACAATAAATTACAACCATTTATCTGTAACAAAAACACAAAAATATTAATTTAGTTTATTAGTAATACTGGCTATTTTTATACCTTTGCCTAAAAAAAACGTTGACGCGCGCGCATGGCTAATTTGTGGACAAGTAAAAATTATTTCGCGCGCTTTTTCTTTTCGCTGTATTGTTTTTATTTGAAAATGTCGTCAAGCAGTGATGAATTTATTAATTTGACACCGCCACAAGTCTTATACGCAGCGAAAAAGGCTACTCTAAGCCTCTTACCTGAAAAATCGACCGATAGATACTTACAAGCGTATCAAAATTTCATCATATGGAAAACAAGCAAAGATGCAAATTCATTTTCAGAAAATGTGTTTTTAGCCTATTTCATGGAACTTTCTCAAAAATATAAGTCAAGCTCATTGTGGTGCTACTATTCAATGCTAAAAAGCACTATGAAAACAAACCATGGTATTGATATCAAGTCATACTCAAACTTGATAGCATTTCTAAAAAGACGCTCAGATGGCCATGTAAGTAAAAAGTCGAAAGTATTTTCGGCTGACAATATCAAGAAATTCCTAAAAGAAGCTCCGGATTGGCGATATTTGGCAACAAAGGTCAGTTGAAACTAAATTATTGTTATTAATTTCTTTCACTTTCGTATTTTTTTACAATATAGGTGTTTATACGTTCTTTTTATCTCTTTTCAGGTTGTAATAATATTCGGTATAAATGGTGCATGTAGACGTCAAGAGTTGGCAAACATAACAACTAATGATGTCGAGAACCATGGGCGGGTTCTTCTTGTCCAGGTCAAAAACACAAAAAATAAAATTACAAGGTCGTTCACAATACAGGGGCCTTTTTACGACGTAGTGAAGAAATACGAAGCGCTTCGTTCAACAAAAGCTAATTCCAACAGATTTTTTCAAAATTACCAAAATGGAAAATGCACTAACCCATTGGCATTAATAAATTGGGAGCAATGCCGAAAGAAATTGCCACTTTCTTAAATTTGCCTCAAGCACATGAATACACAGGGCACAGTTTCAGAAGGTCCTCGGCTACATTGCTCGCCGATTCAGGTGCGGACTTGTTGACACTAAAACGCCACGGAGGATGACGGTCAAGCAATGTAGCCGAAGGATACATAGAAGACTCGATAAGAAATAAAGAAGAAATTAGCTCTCGCATTACAAGGAACATAAATTTGGAGTCAAGTGTTGACTTTCAACCATCTACGAGCACATACGCGTACATTCCACCATCGTCGCCGCAGCCGCAACCGCCTCCGCCGCCGCCACCGACTGCAGAACTCTGTGGTCTCGTTTGTCCTACTTTCACTCAAGAGAGTGAGCGAGAGACTGGGGAGATTGTAACTAATAATAATAACTTGACAACATTAAAAATGCCAACTGGCAACGTAACAATCACTTTTAAAAATTGTTCAAATTTCTATAACTGCTTTAACAAGTAATTAAAGATTTATTCGTTTAAGAAAGTCAGAGTCTTATTTATTTCCTCGCAAATATGTTATAAAACGTCGTATGACATACGTGCGCTTTGAAAATTACAGCCTCTGCTTTCTTATAGCCCTCGCCTACGGCTCGGGCTAGCAATATGGCCTCGGCTGTAATTTTCAACTTACCGCACTTATATCATAATGTACTATTATTACAATAAATACAGAATATTTTTTGGAATATACGGAGACGTACACACAGGTCACTATTTGGCCTGTCTATATTTCAGTGCAAACGGGAGTTGATATTTATAAGAGCTGTATCGCAAATGTGTTACCGGGAATATATGGCCCTTATGTCGTCTCTATTTCTTGTTATATACACGATATAATGACACGATCATGACGTACAAAGGGAATCGCTTCTACTGACTTTTACTGTATTCATTGTTCTGTGGTTACAACTGATCCCACGCTAGTTTGTAAAAAGACCGTTAAACACTGGCTGAAAAAATAATATAGTTATTTTATTTTATTTTATAGTTATTTAGTTTAGTTATGATATTAAGCACTAATAAAATGAAAGTGTGCACGGACAAAATACGTGGACATGTAATATTTATCTATATTATCATGACAGCCTGCCCCATGTCCACATTTTTTACGACTTCAATATGAATTAATAAATTCTTTACCATTTTTCTAATGGTAATAACAATTTTTAATGTATAGATTTTAAGACTCGTGGTTATTCACTAAATGATTAACACTAATATCAGGGTACTTACCACGGTATGACTTTTGTGTGAAAAAAGTGAGTGACAATGGTAACGCCACAACAAATCACGATGAAGGTAGTCGTCGACAGCGCAAGAGGGTAGACAGATATGTCTGCTCTTAAAGCTGTCATCTGTCGCCATCCAGTCAACCCGTGACCATGGAGCGTGCAACCGTTCCGAAATATCGGGAAAATGAAAAGAAGTCACACCGTGGTAAGAAACCTGATATTAGTGATAATCAATTTTTAATGTGTTTAATTTTTTTTTCTAGTGCGAAAAACTGAAATGCGTATTCGAAAAATCGGGCTGGCTAAAGGACAATAAAGTAGACAAAGAGAAGGTGAAGAATTATTTCGATGATTATGCGAAAGAAACCCCAGCTTGGGCTCCGGCCGTAGAGAAGGTGAAAACAGAATGCCTGACGCAGGATTTGGTGGCACAAGGTGTTTTTGTCAACTGTCCTGCTTATGACGTTATGCATTGCATACTGACTAATTTTCTCAGGGTGAGTTTGACGTAACTGTTAGTTAAAATTTTCTTTCGATGTGAATTTCGTTATGGCTCCGTTTGAAAGAGTTCTCCAGGGAAGTACTGCCACCTATTTGCCGCTCTTTCTGCCGCCAAGCAGTAATGTTCACGTTACTGTGTTCCGATTTGGTGCTGGTGAAATTCAAACCCAAACCCAAATTCAAAGCAATGTACCGGTAACACCTATTCTCACTTCAAAAATAATAACGCACACACTCAACATGGTCCCGTACTAGGGAAACTTACGAGAGAAATAAATGTAGGCCATATAAATATTTCTTCCGGCCCGGGAATCGAACCTGGGACCTCTGTGAGGCAGTTCGGCCTCGGAGGCAGTTTCTGTGTAGTGTGTTTTATTCTTTTACGTAGTCTGTCTAGAATAGAATTTTGTTGTTGCTTTGATATACATTATATATACTAAATACAACATTAAAACCTCTTTACCATCACAATTTACTCTTACAGTTGTATTTATATTCACGCTGTATTTGTATTCATGCACTTACATATCAAATAGGTTATTTTAGATGCACTATTTACACTTTACTATGTAGGAATATTAATATCTCAAAGTAATCTTTACTCATAGTCGTTATATTTTTGCTTACAAATAACTTAATCCCTTTCGTTGGTCCCGACTGAAAACCAGCGCCAATGCTGTTAAGTTTTTCTTTTATGCTTAATTTGTATTTGTGTTATATCAGTGAATGAAATGTTTAAGTATCCTAAATTACGGGCACATGTGACGTCACATGGGACTTGTCAAACTTTTTTTAAACAGACATATTCTCATAGATGATATATGTATATTCATTTACAACTGCTAAAAATTCGTGTTCTTTTTTTGGCAATGTCACGTATCGAGGACGAGGACAAATTGACATTACAATGTATTTTTCGTAGAAGCAGTAAAATTTTTCGTCGTATATTAATTATTCACGCTGTCAGATTTTAGATTTTAAAATTTCTTAAATATAGGAAATGAAACTATTTTTCCGGATTTAAATCGCGTATATTTGTTTTTTCAAACAAACTTTTGTTTAAAAATACTTTCATTCCCTTTGTGTAACAATAGTGAACACCTAAGAACTTTTCTAAAAGAAAAGAAAATAAAGAAAATTCATCATGTTTTTGATTGCTTGATCTTTTCCTGAGAAAAATGAAAACAGCTGATCCACGGTGTTGTTTGAATATTACTTTTTTATGTTAGGCCTAATATTTTCCATTTGTTTTTAAATTGTAGAACGCGCAACCGTCTCAATGGTCAACATCCGCCACGTGTGAATACCCACGGCAGTTCGCCGCGGCTTGCCCCGTCTGCCCCGAAGACTGTTTCGCGCCACAGGTGCCCTACGGCTCGTGCAATGCTTGTCGACTTCTACCCCGATCAACTTAAACGTCGCCTCTGTCACTTGCTAAACGCATTTGAAGATTTTGTTATGAAGCCATCTTGTATCCGCCATTTTGAAAAAAAAATGACAGCGACGCATACAATTTATATTAATGTATATTTATCGTTTGCGTTTCTCATTGCCTTCCCTTTATCTGAAGATGTATAATTACGTAAAAGAATATTTAAAGCAAATTCACAAACAAAAGTAAATTTCTTCATTTCTTCTTAAGTGAACATATTTGTGGCGGCACCTGTACCACTTTTATAGATTATACCTTGAAAAACTGAAACTTCAGATATTTCATCCAATATCACATGATGTTTATATTAATGTTAGATATCGATGGAGACAGGATTTAGGTATGCGTAACTACCATTTTGAAACAAATAATGCCGGACAGTGAAAACAAAATCTTAACAGCCCTAATTATTGATATAAATGAAATGCTTGTTTATAAAACTTTTATTTATTTGTCTTTTTCCTCTGAAAATTAATGCCACTGTGAATCCTAATGCAGAAGTAACAATTAATGCCATCTAGCGACAGGTTTTCCTTCCGATCCGTACGTAAGTACGATCCGTATCCGATCAATGGGACATCTATGGGAAGAGGAACTAAAAATTTTAAATCGTTAAACAAAAAAGGACTAAGTAATTCGTAAATAGGTACCTTATACTATTTATTTATCACTGAAGCGAAGGTTCATGCCATTTACTGAAATTGCATTGCCGTTAAACAGAATTACTCGGTTTTTCCTCAACCGATATGCGTGAAATTTGAAACTAGCATAAAAAATACAATTCTATAGGTCGTAATGACGCTAAAATTTTGGATTTCGGTCTATGAATTAATGATAATTCAGGTCAAGGTCACCATATTAAGTCCATTGGAAAAATATTCGAATGTAAAATTCTACCTACGTGCAAAGTCAATGTCAAATCGCTCGTTTGCCAGAACAATGTGTTATCTCTAGAACATCGAGATATAATAAATAGGTAACACGTTGTTCTGGCAAACGGGCGAAATAATCTTTATTTCATAGGTAAGTAAATTATACTTGAAATCGGTATACCGTAAACTGAGGTTACTTTGATAAATTTTGAAATTTAAACGTCTATAACTTTTTAACTTGAGATTTTTTTTAAATAAAAAAAATGTCGAATTATCGGTTTTAATAGTTCTCTCTAAAAACGTTAAAACAACAAACAATTTTTCAATACTATTTGAGAAAAAAAAAGACAGCGTGATTAAAGTAATAATTGATTTGGGGTTACTTTGAAACCTTTTTTAGTATGAATATTGAAACTAACCCCAATTACTAGCCTAAAACAGAAAAAAAAATTAAAAATCAGTCAACAGGGAAGAACGTTATTGCTGTTTTTATATCTTGGGGTAACTTTGATCGAATAAAATTACTAAATATGACATAACCTGTCTGTAATGTTTTAATTAGAGATTGTTGTTATTTATTATACAAAGTTCCATATGATGTTAGTTTCATAAAGCTGTGATGCCCGTCTCATGGTTAGCTTATCGACCACGATCTGACTCAATGCTTCTTCTAACCTGGCTTCTCGAGTAATTTCGCTACTCGGGAACCTAGTTTTCAGTTATATGTTTAGTTTTATGTTTGTGGCATCGTTCTGAAAACACTTAATATAAAAAAATTAAAAACAAAGCCACAAAGCTAATTTTCCTGCTAGCGGCTGGGGTGACTTTGACACTTTGATCAATCTCACACCATACACCCTATCAATGACACCCCGCAAAAAATAAACCGACGCCATAACGGAAGCGTCATGGTTAGAACAATAAAAAATTTTGTTATGAATTCACAAATGTACAATATTCTTAATACTCTTTTGATTCTATCCAAAAAATTCACGATACTAACACACACTGACGCACATGAAGTTTTGCAACACATTTTTTTAATTAAAAATAGGTTGTAACGGAAAACTTACCTTTTTGTATATAAAATACAGGGAAATCTCCAGCGCACCCGCAGAAATGAACTTGACTGTTTATCAGTATTGCCACCCGAAAAAAAAATTCCCAAAACTAGGCGCCTTTTACGCAATTTGTAGTTTTATGTGAAAAGGAAGTCTTTATCAAAGTGATCCCGAGAATCAAAGTAACCACGGTCTACGGTACTGATTAAACTCTGCTGGAGATTTCCCTTAGTAGAATAAGCAAGAAACTCTAGAGGTTGCTCCTTGCAAATATATATTTGAATACATTTATCATTACAATGTTTAATTTAAACATTTTAGATCGAGAATACCTGAAAGAGCTAAACGAGTCACTACCACGGATTTTTGTCATATAAGTACGCAGAAGTTGTATAATAACCTTTAGTATAAAGTTTTTGTTTCACTATAGTTTTAAACCTCGTCAATGGCAAATTTTGAATATCAATCGGAATCTTAGAACCGTACACATGGCCCCATAAATGAATTTGCGACTTTATGAAGGCGAATGTCAAGAAGAGATAGATTCCTGTCACTATTATACCTACTACTATTACTATCATAAAAAATATATATTTTTCTTAACATAAATAACTTCTTCTTCGTTTTGCTCAATGGCGGTTCCTTCTTTTTAAGATTTCGCCAGTGTCGAGTTTTCCGCTTAGCAGAATAAGTTCAAAATATGTTTCTGTAAATATGGCCGCCACATAGAGGATAGGCAATTTGAGGCGGCGTGCTTGGATTGACTCGGGATTCCTTAAGACGGGCCGATACGGGTATTTTAGTTCGAGATTCGTATAATTTCGCGTTTTAATCTTCGATTAAGGCACAATAGCACTATCCTATTCCACTTTAAACTAGATTTCACAAAATAATTGAAAGTCAAAATAAAAACGACACTTTTCCCTCCAAAAGGTCCAGAGCGAATCCATAAATAACATTTTCATAAATGTAGTTTGACGTTCGTGTGTGTATACGCAAATAATATTACTGTGAAAAAGAAAAATATATTGTTTGAATAAGTTTCTTTTGTTATGTATAAGACTGTTGTAAGAAATATGTAGGAGAGGACCGAAATGATGGACTAACTTAATAAAGGAAACATTATTTCTACTTTTAACTTTTCAAGATAAAGAGGGTAAATTTCGTTGCCCCTGGTGCATCTTGTCTCCTTATTTTTATCACCGAGTAGGTATGGACGACGGGTCTAATACAAAAACCACGAAAAAAATGTCCCAAGTCAACCTATTTAAACGTAGTGACATGTCAAGGAATATGAAAAAGCTAAAACGTTGAATTTAAATTGTAATGTCATCGCAGTACTGTCTAATTTTGCTTGCTTCGCTGTCAGTCGAACAAACGAAGACTAGAGCGTGAATGACGCTCTGTATACGATTTTAACGCTCTATAAGTTCGGACACTTTTTAGCGCGGACCCGACGTCCATATAATTATTGTAAGTCAATGCCGAGTATGATATTTTTTCTTATTTTTTAGTTTCATTGTGATAATATAAAACAATTTCCACCTTATTTAATAGATTCGTAACACATATTTGCTTGTCAAATGTAAAGAAATCTAGTTATTATTTTATAAGATCCTTGGTTTAAAAAAATATGGCTTTGCTAACTAGCAATTACTTTAGTTTAGAAGAAAAGTTTCGTAACAATCAGATTAAGCGGTTTATTGAATGTCAGGATATTTCACCAACATGATATTCAATTGTTTTTTTTTTTGTGAAATTGCTCCACTAGCTTGTTATAATTATTAAATCAAAGATTACTTAGAAAGAAAGAACAATTTAATGTAATCAAGAAAATTATTATTAAGAAAGAACACTTACAAAAAATTCCTTCGATCCGGCCGGATTCGAACCGACGACTTCTAGCGAACCGTGCTAAATCCTGACATTCAATAAAACAATTACAGTGGTCAGCGATTTTGTTTTCAACCATACTTTGGGAAGGAAGTATTATATTTTATCTATTTTACGTATTACTTGAACTTCAAACAAAATATACCAGTTCTATTTTGTTCTGTTAATCTTAACAGAACTCTTATCCATAACCAGGGCTGGGCAAAATACATGCTACATCTTAATTGAAATACAAATTACAAAATACTTCCTTAAATGTATTTAAAATACAAAATACCAAATACTTTCTTGAGGTGTATTTGAAATACAAAATACAAAATACTTTCATGGGGTGTATTTAAAATACAAAATACAAATACAAATTACAAAATACTTTATTAGTATACTTATCGCGACATGTGGAAACCAACAATTTCCTTCAAAGGATTTCCTTCCACAATACATATCTTGAAAAAGAAGTTTTAAATATTCAGTTTTACCAGAAAAAAACTGTTAAACCAATACAACCATACTTCAGAGCACGAAGTACGTATAATTATTATTAATATTCCTATACATGTCGAATACTGTATATACGTGTAAATGCCATTCATAACATGTTCACAACACAAATTAGTCGCTCACGCGATACGTTATCCCTATCTACTCGGCCTATAAAGGATGCAAATGTGCAATTTAAACCAACCGCAAAATGGCGGCTATAACCCTAGAACCCTACTACTCTAAGTTATAACCGCGAAAAGATGACTTTGACGACTTTGACAATACCATGCACTGTTGCCACCTGCAAATGTGCTTCTACTGCATTGAATACGAGTATTTAAGATGTCGTGAGTGTTGTGTGTCGGTGTAGTGAGAACCCTAGTGCACAAATAAGTAATGAAGATAAAGTGCGGGTAGTTAGAAAAACTCGCACAACTAGAAGATGCTGACACCCGCCTCTTCAGTCCTTGCGAGACCATGGACGTTGCAATATGTCCGAAAAGTCGAGGTAAATAAAATATGTTTATACGTGAATAAGTCCCGAATTAAAAATCAAATAATTTCATACTTCATTTTTTGAACGTTCCGCTTTACACAAACGGACGCACGCACGCACGCACGCAGGCACGCACGCACGCAGGCAAGCACGCACGCACGCACGCACGCACGCACACACACGCACTCACACACACACACATATACACATACATACATATAA